CTTCCCTTTTTTAAGGTTAAGAAGAAATATAAATTATTTAAGATTGTCGCTGTCTTCATCCCCACTTAACTCTGGTCATTGTGTTGATGTAGTTGCTTGATAAAATATGTTGAGTATGAGAAACTGCTGACGGAAATGCAGTGATAATTTACATGAATGTTTGCTACACATCAGTGTTCATAATTTGAGAAAAAATATTACCTTGAAATTATACTGTCCTTTTAACCGATCCCACAATACTAATAGAGATAGGTATGTTTCATTCAGTATTTCAGGCCATGTGGCCCATATTACAGTTTTTTACCTACCAGTACTTGGTACTTCAACACTTGGTCATGTTAATTTGTGAAGCTATTTCACCTCATAGAAAATATACATGTTAGAAAATGTTTATCACATAAATGTTTTGAAGATTGAAGCACCCTTTAAAACATTTATGTGATAAACATTTTCTTATGCTTATGATTTTGCTTGTTACAAATCAGGAAGATATGTTTTCTATGGTGTTGATAACTATCACCAATCAATTATATACAAAATTCATTTTTGATATAGCTATTACAACATTTTGAAAAAACACTCCTTTAACAACATCCTTGGACCTACAAACTCTATTTACCAGAAGGGTATGCAAAGAAATCGTGAAGTTACAGGATCATTTTAAGGTTGTTGCTTGTAATATAGTAACATATTTTCCAGGTTGTAGCTGAGACTTGATACAAGCATGATTAGAGAGAAAATTTGAAGTTGTTACCTGCTCATGCCAATTTTGGCGATACAAGTAATTAAATCTTTGTATAATTGGCTATGAAAGAAGCTCTTCTTACTACTCTCTTATGAAATCCAAGGGGAAGAATATCCTGACATACACTACTGGGTGAACAGAGGCATATTAAGATGGCATCGTCTTTAGTGTGGGGCAGGACAAAGTCCTAGAAACTCCCAGGAGTCAAGCCACCGAACACGCTCACCCATCAACCTACTCTCCTGGGTGTTATTTTTGTCAGTGTAGGCAGGACCAAACTCCTAGACACTTTCAGGAGTCAAGCCACCGAACACACTCACCCATCCACCTACTCTCCTGGGTGTTATTTTTGTCAGTGTGGGGCAGGACCAAAGTCCTAGAAACTCTCAGGAGTCAAACCACCGAACACACTCACCCATCCACCTACTCTCCTGGGTGTTATTTTTGTCAGTGTGGGGCAGGACCAAACTCCTAGAAACTCCCAGGAGTCAAGCCACTGAACACACTCACCCATCCACCTACTCTCCTGGGTGTTATTTTTGTCAGTGTGGGGCAGGACCAAACTCCTAGACACTTTCAGGAGTCAAGCCACCGAACACACTCACCCATCCACCTACTCTCCTGGGTGTTATTTTTGTCAGTGTGGGGCAGGACCAAACTCCTAGACACTTTCAAAAGTCAAGCTATCGAACACACTCACCCATCAACCTACTCTCCTGGGTGTTATTTTTGTCAGTGTAGGCAGGACCAAACTCCTAGACACTTTCAGGAGTCAAGCTATCGAACACACTCACCCATCAACCTACTCTCCTGGGTGTTATTTTTGTCAGTGTGGGGCAGGACCAAACTCCTAGACACTTTCAGGAGTCAAGCTATCGAACACACTCACCCATCAACCTACTCTCCTGGGTGTTATTTTTGTCAGTGTAGGCAGGACCAAACTCCTAGACACTTTCAGGAGTCAAGCCACCGAACACACTCACCCATCAACCTACTCTCCTGGGTGTTATTTTTGTCAGTGTGGGGCAGGACCAAACTCCTAGACACTTTCAGGAGTCAAGCTATCGAACACACTCACCCATCAACCTACTCTCCTGGGTGTTATTTTTGTCAGTGTAGGCAGGACCAAACTCCTAGACACTTTCAGGAGTCAAGCCACCGAACACACTCACCCATCCACCTACTCTCCTGGGTGTTATTTTTGTCAGTGTGGGGCAGGACCAAACTCCTAGAAACTCTCAGGAGTCAAGCCACCGAACACACTCACCCATCCACCTACTCTCCTGGGTGTTATTTTTGTCAGGGTGGGGCAGGACCAAACTCCTAGACACTTTCAGGAGTCAAGCCACCGAACACACTCACCCATCCACCTACTCTCCTGGGTGTTATTTTTGTCAGTGTGGGGCAGGACCAAACTCCTAGACACTTTCAGGAGTCAAGCTATCGAACACACTCACCCATCAACCTACTCTCCTGGGTGTTATTTTTGTCAGTGTAGGCAGGACCAAACTCCTAGACACTTTCAGGAGTCAAGCCACCGAACACACTCACCCATCAACCTACTCTCCTGGGTGTTATTTTTGTCAGTGTAGGCAGGACCAAACTCCTAGAAACTCCCAGGAGTCAAGCCACTGAACACACTCACCCATCCACCTACTCTCCTGGGTGTTATTTTTGTCAGTGTGGGGCAGGACCAAACTCCTAGAAACTCTCAGGAGTCAAGCCACCGAACACACTCACCCATCCACCTACTCTCCTGGGTGTTATTTTTGTCAGGGTGGGGCAGGACCAAACTCCTAGACACTTTCAGGAGTCAAGCCACCGAACACACTCACCCATCCACCTACTCTCCTGGGTGTTATTTTTGTCAGTGTGGGGCAGGACCAAACTCCTAGACACTTTCAGGAGTCAAGCTATCGAACACACTCACCCATCAACCTACTCTCCTGGGTGTTATTTTTGTCAGTGTGGGGCAGGACCAAACTCCTAGACACTTTCAGGAGTCAAGCTATCGAACACACTCACCCATCAACCTACTCTCCTGGGTGTTATTTTTGTCAGTGTAGGCAGGACCAAACTCCTAGACACTTTCAGGAGTCAAGCCACCGAACACACTCACCCATCAACCTACTCTCCTGGGTGTTATTTTTGTCAGTGTGGGGCAGGACCAAAGTCCTAGAAACTCCCAGGAGTCAAGCCACTGAACACACTCACCCATCAACCTACTCTCCTGGGTGTTATTTTTGTCAGGGTGGGGCAGGACCAAACTCCTAGACACTCTCAGGAGTCAAGCTATCGAACACACTCACCCATCAACCTACTCTCCTGGGTGTTATTTTTGTCAGGGTGGGGCAGGACCAAACTCCTAGACACTTTCAGGAGTCAAGCCACCGAACACACTCACCCATCCACCTACTCTCCTGGGTGTTATTTTTGTCAGTGTGTGGCAGGACCAAACTCCTAGACACTTTCAAAAGTCAAGCTATTGAACACACTCACCCATCTACCTACTCTCCTGGGTGTTATTTTTGTCAGGGTGGGGCAGGACCAAACTCCTAGACACTCTCAGGAGTCAAGCCACCGAACACACTCACCCATCCACCTACTCTCCTGGGTGTTGTATTTCTGTGAAATGAAATGACTCACAATTATTGATGGAATCTTTTGAAAAAAACATGCTATTATAGATGATTGCAAAGAACCTATTGCCTTTGTTAACTGACTTGGAAGAGTTGAGATCGTCTGACATGTCAGTGTGCAATGTGTGGAGGATCCTTGTCAACCTCTGTGTCAACATGGTACAGGACAGTACCGGGTAGTTCCTGTCAGCCGTTTGTCTCATGTTTGACTTGACTTATGGATTTCAATTCATGTATTCTTTCTATGATATGGGGCTGGTACATATATCAAGCATGTATCACTTGTACCATCTTCCCGCAAGGAAGTTAACTGACTGTAAAAGTCCAGTTTCCACCCTTGCCGAACTAGGCTGGAATTTCTGGGTTTGATCATAGCGCCACCAGTGGCTATATCCCTTTGTCCCTCCTATTGACTAATCAGATTCCACCTCTCACATCACTTGCATTTCCTATTCCAGTGAATACGATCTGATCGATAATCAAGATCTATATTTAGTGTTCCCTCTGGCTTACCAGTCCCCCTAAATTTTGTCAGTCCCAACTTTCAACAAATAAAAAAATGTATGAAAATTGCCTGGTTTTAATTCATTCAACATCATGTTCAATGCAATTGTGTCATCTCTGAAGTAACTTTGTTAGATCTACAGGTCATTCACTCGAAGTTTGGTCACAATTTTCTCTTTGTTTTTTTAATATTCTGAGATTAAGTTGCTACGAATATATATTTAACTGAAAGCAAAGCGAGATGTTACTTTTGTTGCACTAAATTTAGACAAGGGGAAACCCTGATGGTAACAGAGAAACTGACTTCTTGTATTCTTCTACGAATATCACTGATGTTTGTACAACAAAGATTTATAAGGTACTCTATTTGCCGGTCCACAGGGACTGTTAATTACCAGTAAACGGGAACACTGATATTGTGATAAAACAGGTCTTACTTTGCGAAGTGCATCAAATCACTTGAGCACCTTCATTAAAAACATGAAAAGATTTTAAAAATATCTGTTGACGCTAACTTGATGGTACACATGCTTGAAGATCCGGGGTAGAATAGGTCTTCAGCAACCCATGCTTGTCGTAAGAGGCGACTATGCTTGTCGTAAGAGGCGACTAACGGGATCGGGTGGTCAGGCTCGCTGACTTGGTTGATGCATGTCATCGATCCCAATTGGGTGGATCGATGCTCATGATATTAATCACTGGATTGTCTGGTCCAGACTCGATTATTACAGACCGCTGTCATATAGCTGGAATATTGCTGGAACATTGCTGAGTGCAGCATTAAACAACAAAACAACCAACAATCCTACAATCAAGCAAAATCTGCACAACAGTTTACGAACCAGATGTTCGATTTTGTTTGGACTATGCATAGTCTCCAAGTCCAGCCAAAATGTAACTTCATAATTCCTGTCTAGTTCGGCAAGGCTCGGGAAGCTGCACTTGTACAGATATGTTGCTGAGAAAGAATTAAGAAGTGGATATGCTTAAGGCCCAGCTATCTTTAGAGATACCACAGCTAAATGCCACTTGAAGATCATGAAGATTTTGAAACCATTTGGCTTTAGATATCTGATGACAAGTTTTGTTGAATGCAGCTATTTTATTTGCAGGTGAGGAGTTGTCGAAGCTTGCTCTACAGAGATACAATGCTGTCAAGGTAAATACTGCCAGTTTCTGTTCATTCTCACACTGAGGAAGCAAAGATTTCAATTTCAGTTTTAAGAGGCTGGAGCCAGGATTTGTGTTTGAGATCAGCATTTGTTTTTTTAAATGTATCGGAACACAGTTAATTTATTCAAATGGACATATTGTCTTGAAGAAAAGATCACATTATTTATTTCCCAGCAATGCAACGTATGTTAAAAAAAAAGAAGTAAAATGGGCTTGATTATTTTTTAAAAGAAATCGTTCCCCCCTTACTAATATGAAACGGTTTCTCCCTAAGGATGGCTTAGCACTAAGATCCTGTTCAGGGACAGTGTTGGCAGTTGATGTCTCCTATACAGGGGTAAAGCTTTAATTTCTGTGTGTGCCGATGTGCAGAACAGTTTTGATGTACAACAAGTTAAACTATGAGAGTTCCATATGATAGTCATCTTCATTGTACAGTAAGAGTTGTCTCCCTTTGTCTGCTACAGGGCACGTCGCCAGAGAGACTAGTGACAGGGTCCGATGACTTCACACTGTTCCTGTGGCATCCGGAGGAGGAGAAGAAACCTGTGTGTCGCATGACAGGGCACGCTCAACTCATCAATGAGGTTCTCTTCTCCCCCGATACCAGGCTCATCGCCAGTGCATCCTTCGACAAGTCGGTCAAGGTCTGGGATGGAAGATCTGGAAAGTAAGCTGCTGCTGAGGATGTTGGAAGATAATAAAATGTCGTGAGTGAGTGGGTGGGTGTTTTTGAGTGAGTGGGTGCTTGAGTGAGTGAGTGATTGAGTGGGAGGGTGGTGAGTTGTTGAGTGAGTTGGTGGTTGGTTGAGTGAGTGGGTGAGTTGGTGAGGGTGTGAGTTAGGGTGTCAGTTGTTGAGTGAGTTGGTGGGTGAGTGAGTGAGTTGGTGAGTTGTTGAGTGAGTTTGTGAGTGAGTTGTTGGTGAGTTGTTGAGTGAGTGAGTGGGTGGATTTGTAGATGAGTGAGTGACATTCATGCTGTGACATTGTTTTTGCTGATATGTCACAGCATCTCTAATCATAGACTAGACCAGACAAGCCAGTGCTGATAGTCAGTCTGGTGGTGGATGATAAACCTGTCTGATGTAATGATGTTACTCGTGAACTTGGTCTTCTGGTGCGATCCTACACACTGTTGGTACATTTCTACAATATCAGACACGGGAGACTAGTGTGGTGAACCTGTCCATCTCTTGCCACTCATCTTGCCACCACACCACCTTCATGCCAATTGCTCAAAGAAGATCTTTGACATGTAATTTGGTCATGGTGCATGCAACGCACAACAGTCCACGTTTCACATTGAAAGTGTGCATGTTGTTCTCGGCCATGATTCCTTTGAATATCCTACCTCTATTACATCATAGCCATAAATTCTGTTTAGGCTGTTCTCGCACTATAAATCTCTTTAGATGACTTGCAGTGAAGATAAAAAATCTAAAGATTTTTATAGTGTCAGACCAGCCAAAACAGAATTTATGACAAATTTATGGTAGTTTTCTTAGAGACATACATGATCGATGACAGATGATTCGGATTCAGCCATCTGCTATCATCGTCCATGTATATTGTCACCTAGCCATGTCCATGTATGTATTCACCCAGCCATGTCCATGTATGTATTCACCTAGCCACGTCCATGTATGTATTCACCCAGCCACATCCATTTATGTATTCATCTAGCCACGTCCATGTATGTATTCACCTAGCCACGTCCATGTATGTATTCACCTAGCCACGTCCATGTATGTATTCATCTAGCCACGTCCATGTATGTATCCACCCAGCCATGTCCATGTATGTATTCACCTAGCCACGTCCATGTATGTATTCACCTAGCCACATCCATGTATGTATTCACCTAGCCACGTCCATGTATGTATTCATCTAGCCACATCCATGTATGTATTCACCTAGCCACATCCATGTATGTATTCACCTAGCCATGTCCATGTATGTATTCACCCAGCCATGTCCATGTATGTATTCACCCAGCCATGTCCATGTATGTATTCACCTAGCCACGTCCATGTATGTATTCACCTAGCCACATCCATGTATGTATTCACCCAGCCATGTCCATGTATGTATTCACCCAGCCACATCCATGTATGTATTCACCTAGCCACATCTATGTATGTATTCACCTAGCCACGTCCATGTATGTATTCACCTAGCCACTTCCATGTATGTATTCACCTAGCCACGTCCATGTATGTATTCACCTAGCCACGTCCATGTATGTATTCACCTAGCCACGTCCATGTATGTATTCACCTTGCCACGTCCATGTATGTATTCACCTAGCCACGTCCATGTATGTATTCACCTAGCCACGTCCATGTATGTATTCACCTAGCCACGTCCATGTATGTATTCACCTAGCCACGTCCATGTATGTATTCACCTAGCCACGTCCATGGATATATATACACCTAGCCACGTCCATGTATGTATTCACCTAGCCACGTCCATGTATAAAGCCCCTAGCCACTAGACATCATCGTCCATGTATATAGTCACCTGGCCACGTCCATGTATTTAGTCACCAAGCCACATTCATCAATATCGTCACTTGGCATCGTTCAAGTTTATAGTAAGCTGGCATAGTCGTCCAAGTATATAGTCACCTGGCATCGTCGTCCAAGTATATAGTCACCTGACATCGTCGTCCATGTATATAGTCACCTGGCATTGTCGTCGAAGTATATAGTCACCTGACATAGTCGTCCATGTATATAGTCACCTGGCATTGTCGTCGAAGTATATAGTCACCAGACATCTTCTTCCATGTATATAGTCACCAGGCATCATCGTCCATGTATATAGTCACCTGGCATCATCGTCCAAGTATATAGTCACCTGGCATCGTCCAAGTATATAGTCACCTGGCATCGTCATCCAAGTATATAGTCACCAGACATCTTTGTCCAAGTATATAGTCACCAGGCATCATCGTCCATGTATATAGTCACCTTGCATCGTCGTCCATGTATATAGTCACCTGGCATCGTCCAAGTATATAGTCACCTGGCATCAGCGTCCATGTTTATAGTCACCTGGCATCGTCGTCCATGTATATAGTCACCTGGCATCGTCCATGTATATAGTCACCTGGCATCGTCCAAGTATATAGTCACCTGGCATCGTCCAAGTTTATAGTCACCTGGCATCGTCCAAGTTTATAGTCACCTGGCATCGTCGTCCAAGTATATAGTCACCTGGCATGGTCGTCCAAGTATATAGTCACCTGGCATCGTCCAAGTATATAGTCACCTGGCATCATCGTCCATGTATATAGTCACCTGGCATCGTCCAAGTTTATAGTCACCTGGCATCATGGTCCATGTATATAGTCACCTGGCATCGTCCAAGTTTATAGTCACCTGGCATCGTCGTCCATGTATATAGTCACCTGGCATGGTCGTCCAAGTATATAGTCACCTGGCATCGTCCAAGTTTATAGTCACCTGGCATCGTCGTCCATGTATATAGTCACCTGGCATCATCGTCCATGTATATAGTCACCTGGCATCATCGTCCATGTATATAGTCACCTGGCATCGTCCAAGTATAAAGTCACCTGGCATCAGTGTCCATGTATATAGTCACCTGGCTTCATCGTCCAAGTGTATAGTCACCTGGCATCATCGTCCATGTATATAGTCACCTGGCATCGTCCATGTATATAGTCACCTGGCATCATTGTCCATGTATATAGTCACCTGTGGTTTGTTTCAGGTTCATAGCATCTCTGCGGGGCCACGTGAGCCGAGTGTACCAGGTGGCGTGGTCTGCTGACAGTCGGCTGCTGTGTAGCGGTAGTTCCGACTCCACACTCAAAGTCTGGGACATGAAGACCAGGAAGCTCCTGTGCGATCTCCCAGGCCATGCAGACGAGGTGGGTGCTGGCCTGATGTATTCACATATGGACCTGTCCCAGTATTCACATGGGGCCCAGTCACAGTATTCACACGGGGGCCAGTCACAGTATTCATATGGGGGCCTGTTGCAGTATTCACATGGGGCCTGTCACAGTATTCACATGGGGGCCTGTCACAGTATTCATATGGGGCCTGTCACAGTATTAACATAGCAGCCTGTCACAGTATTCACATAGGGGCCTGTCACAGTATTCACATTGGGGCCTGTCACAGTATTCATATGTGGCCTGTCACAGTATTCACATGGGGCCTGTCACAGTATTAGCATAGGGGCCTGTCACAGTATTCACATGGGGGCCTGTCACAGTATTCACATGGGGGCCTGACACAGTATTCACATGGGGCCTGTCACAGTATTCACATGGGGCCTGTCACAGTATTCACATGGGGCCTGTCACAGTATTCACATGGGGGCCTGTCACAGTATTCACATGGGGGCCTGTCACAGTATTCACATGGGGCCTGTCACAGTATTCACATGGGGCCTGTCACAGTATTCACATAGGGGCCTGTCACAGTATTCACATAGGGGCCTGTCACAGTATTCACATTGGGCCTGTCACAGTATTCACATGGGGCCTGTCACAGTATTCATATGGGGCCTGTCACAGTATTCACATAGGGGCCTGTCACAGTATTCACATAGGGGCCTGTCACAGTATTCACATAGGGGCCTGTCACAGTATTCACATTGGGCCTGTCACAGTATTCCCATGGGGCCTGTCACAGTATTCATATGGGGCCTGTCACAGTATTCACATAGGGGCCTGTCACAGTATTCACATAGGGGCCTGTCACAGTATTCACATTGGGCCTGTCACAGTATTCACATGGGGCCTGTCACAGTATTCACATGGGGCCTGTCACAGTATTCACATGGGGCCTGTCACAGTATTCACATGGGGCCTGTCACAGTATTCACATTGGGCCTGTCCCAGTATTCACATGGGGGCCTGTCACAGTATTCACATGGGGCCTGTCACAGTATTCACATGGGGCCTGTCCCAGTATTCACATGGGGCCTGTCACGGTATTCACATGGGGCCTGTCCCAGTATTCACATGGGGCCTGTCACAGTATTCACATGGGGCCTGTCACAGTATTACATGGGGGCCTGTCACAGTATTACATGGGGTCCTGTCCCAGTATTCACATGGGGCCTGTCACAGTATTACAAGGGGACCTGTAACAGTATTCACATGGGGCCTGTCCCAGTATTCACATGGGACCTGTCACAGTATTCACATGGGGCCTGTCACAGTATTCACATGGGGGCCTGTCACAGTATTACATGGGGGCCTGTCACAGTATTACATGGGGGCCTGTCACAGTATTCACATGGGGACCTGTAACAGTATTCACATGGGGCCTGTCCCAGTATTCACGGATGTTTTCAATGTTATGCATGTTAGTGTGTCCATGTAGTAAATCCTGTGTGTGGGGTTGTTCCAGGTATACTCTGTAGACTGGAGTCCAGATGGTCAGCGGGTGGTCAGTGGAGGGAAGGACAAGGTGCTCAAAGTGTGAGTATACTTTACATAGATGATACGTGTGTCAAGATACACTTACTCATGTGTCGATACATATCGCGATACTAGACTAAGTCGGAAACAATAGTGAACATGATATGTGACATTGCAGTTTCGAATTATTAAGTACATAGTAAAAGCCTTTTTATACAATTCAATTGTATAACCAAGGTCTTAGAATTCAAATGTAACACCTCCATACAGGTCAACCAATTCAAATGTAACACCTTTATAGAGGTCGACCAATTCAAATGTAACACCTCCGTACAGGTCGACCAATTCAAATGTAATACCTCCATACAGGTCGACCAATTCAAATGTAAAACCTCCATAGAGGTCGACTAATTCAAATGTAACACCTCCATACAGGTCGACCGATTCAAATGAAAAACCTCCATACAGGTCGACCAATTCAAATGTAACACCTCCATACAGGTCGACTGATTCAAATGTAACACCTCCATACAGGTCGACCAATTCAAATGTAACACCTCCATACAGATCAACCAATTCAAATGTAAAACCTCTTAGCAGTCCTCACATGGAATAGTAAGAGGTTTCTATGAGTTTATAGATTCAGATCCTCAATCATGTGTAACTTGTAAGGAAATTGTTGATGGATCATGTGTAACTTGTAAGGAAATTGTTGGTGGATCGTGTGTACTTGTAAGGAAATTGTTGATGGATCATGTGTAACTTGTAAGGGAATTGTTGATGGATCATGTGTAACTTGTAAGGAAATTGTTGGTGGATCATGTGTAACTTGTAAGGAAATTGTTGGTGGATCATGTGTAACTTGTAAGGAAATTGTTGGTGGATCGTGTGTAACTTGTAAGGAAATTGTTGGTGGATCATGTGTAACTTGTAAGGAAATTGTTGGTGGATCATGTGTAACTTGTAAGGAAATTGTTGATGGATCGTGTGTTACTTGTAAGGAAATTGTTGGTGGATCGTGTGTTACTTGTAAGGAAATTGTTGATGGATCATTTGTAACTTGTAAGGAAATTGTTGGTGGATCATGTGTAACTTGTAAGGAAATTGTTGGTGGATCATGTGTAACTTGTAAGGAAATTGTTGGTGGATCATGTGTAACTTGTAAGGAAATTGTTGGTGGATCGTGTGTAACTTGTAAGGAAATTGTTGATGGATCATGTGTAACTTGTAAGGGAATTGTTGGTGGATCGTGTGTAACTTGTAAGGGAATTGTTGGTGGATCGTGTGGAGCTTAATGCAATGTATCTGCAATGGGGAGAAGTTACATAAATGAAACTGTCAATGTTTATCAAACATATACTTAACAAGACTGAATTCGATAATTGGTGCCATAAATGTTTTCCAGAGAAGGGGTGTTTTGTGTGTATTAATTTCACTTAATAAAAATTTCTTCTCAGGACATAAAGCGATCCTAGTGCCTGTCTCTTCTTAAGGCTTAATAGGATTTTTTTTTACAGTTATTATTCACTACGATATGACCAAACAAAAAATTTATGTGCACCACATCGCGGATAGCGATAATGCTATTTACTTGTAACCCATCATTTAGAAAAATGCACTGATCATGACCGCTGTCTTAGAAAACCACAATTGTGGAATGGTGTCAACAATCTTCAGCTATGATGTCATTTCTAATGTGATGTCATTCTGACCTTCAGCCACAATAAGATTCAAATGATTTCAACAATGCTGTCCAGATGACATAAACAATACACTTGAAGTGATATTTGCACTAGTGTACATACAATATTTTAAAACTTATCCTATCTCACACTATGCATTTCTTCTTATTCTTCGATCCTGATGTGGAAACATCCTAGAACAAAGTTTCCAGCTTTATAAAACACCAATCACCCCAACACATCCCATACAATACCAAGTCAACACTGTGATCGCCTGACAGTGACATATCCAGCACCCTCATTCTCAATTCTATCGCCTGAATGGCAAGGCGTCACTTGAACAGAGAATAGTTTTTTTGGTTTGTTTTTTTTCCCACTGCCATAGTCTGTTTTCCCCATTCAATCCCCATCTTCCTTGTTGCGATTGCCGTGGGGTATGTGAGCTTGTAACACGATGTGAACAGTGTGCTAACTTGTGTGAATTGGAATTCAAAACCGAAAGTATTCTAAACACTCGGCTGATTGTAGGTTCAAGGAGTCTAAGTATTCCGAACATGGCCCTTCCGCCGCTAAGAAACCCAAGCGACTTGTGCTTTCTCATGTGACTGTGCCTTCATCCAATTCATTCTTAAATGCCAACATTCCTGCCCTTGAACGGACCACACCCCATGCATGTAACAGCTCACTATTGCCTACAGTTGTCCCGCTTTCTAATGACCACTGGACTGTGCTGTCATCTGAGCCTTCCCCCCCCTTTCCCGAAGAAGTCTAAACAGCCAGCGAAGGGGTGCCTCTCCCCCCTACCCTACCCGAGTGGGATTCGGATCATTGTCCCACTGCGGATACATTTACAGCTCTCTGGCCTTCCAATGGCGATAGCCCGTGTGAACGAAAACCGGATGATTGTCATCGAAAGAGAGAAACCAGCATTCACTAACGGCCGACAGAGCTTCCAATACAGTACCGCCATCCTTCGTTGGATCGTGAGCGATCAAGGGATGACAGATCGGTGGATCCATGCACCAATGCCTCGCCAGATCGCTGTGCTTCGCCATTATTGTCAAGTCACTGTTGCCATTTCCTCATTGTTATCATGTCGACAGTTCACAGGATCGTACCTCTGTGGATCGGCAGTTTGCCTCCTCTACAGATCGAGACTTGAGGGATTGTCGCTCTACTGTTCTTCAACGTACTGATTGACACATTGATACATCTATACGTCATCCGATAGTGAAATCAACCGTTCTTACGACTTTTTCTCCTATTGTGGAGGATAAGGATTTAGCTCATATTGACCAGAGCATCCGTCACACGCTTCCCCCCTTATTAACTACGGAAGCTGTCACCAAGTTTGTTGCTCATGCCCACTCATCGGAAGAGGCCCATATTCATGGGGGGCCATGACCATGGTCCATAACAAGTTTCAGACCGTAATGGACCTCCTGTCCCATTGTATGGGTTCCCTTACTACCTTAAACATCGCCACGGTATACTCCAGTACTGCCCATGGGAGGACCATTATAAGTCATGATTGTATCAACTCCCTTGGTCGTCTCCCTTCCTGTCCACTAATACGATTCACACTGTCATGCAGGTGGATCGGCCTCAGGTGAGTCAACCAAGCCGGTTGACTCCTCCATCATGTGACTTTGCTCTGGATGGGCACATCCAGGTCCTTCCGACCCCAGTCGTCTCTGTAGGTGGAAGACTTTAATTTTTTGCAGCCAACTGGACTCTGCTGGACGACCCCTTTTTTGACAGTCGGGTACAGACTCCCGTTAACGGCTCCGCCTCCAGTCACTCTTTGTCCAAGGCACGACCGCCTCCATGGTCTTGTGGTAGAGCATCCGCCCGAAGAGAGGAAGGTCCGGGGTTCGATCCCCGACCGCGTCATACCAAAAGACGTTAAAAGATGGTACTTGTTGTAACCCTGTCTGGCGCTCGGCATTAAGGGGCTAAAACACGGACTGGTCGGCTAGGAGTCAGTATACTGTGTCTGAGTGGGGTATTCATGTTAATCTGTGGGCTAGCACTATAAATTGGCATCAGTCCGGACTAGTACAAGCAGCCACACACACATGTGCATGCACGTCACTATATAATTGCAATAATCTTGGACGAGACGTAAAACCCCATTTCACCTCACCTCACCTCACCCTTTTCCGAGGCAAGGGAGTTCACTGACTATAAAAGACCAGTTTCCACCCTTGCTGAACAAGGCTGGAATTTTGTAGTTATATTTTAGTTGGACTAACGAGTCTATGCATAGTCAAATCAAAATCTAACGAAATTGACATCCGGGTCGTAAACTGCCGTGTAGATTTTTTTATTGCAATATTTGCAAACCTCGGCATCAACAGATATTTTCCAAATCTTTTCATGTTTTTAATGAAGGTGCTCAAGTGCATTTCACTAAGTAAGACCTGTTTTTATCACAATATTGTTAGTCTGCCATTTTGTTTCAAGCAAATGCTTGTGATATGAGAGATGGAATCTGATTGGTCAATAGGAGGGACATGGAAGGGACATAACTTGTAATAGCCACTGGTGGCACTAAGATGGAGCCATGAAGTTCCAGACCAAATCGGCACGGTAGGAAACTGGGCGTATATGGTCAGTTAACTCCCTTGCCTGGGAAAAATGATTTGTTGCATGTCCAGACCTTGTGTGTTCTTATGGTGTTTCTTCCACTCCTTGTAGTGACCACTGCTTAGTATATGTTATTCCACAAAGCAAGTGAGGGAGTGAGTGAGTTGGGTTTTACGCAGCTTTTAACAGTATTCCAGTTATATCGTGGCGTGTCAGCTTAATGTGGGAGGAAAGCCCGAAGTGATGCAGGTCTCAGATGTTTACCACTTCGGTGAAACCCACAAGCACGGGTATGGTGCTGAAAAACCTAGAAACATAATTGGAGTGAACTGGGATAGGTTTATGGCGTTCCAAGGGGACGCAACTCCACACAGTGAATCGTGACGACTTAGACGACTTAGACGACTGGGCCACCCGTGCCTTCCACAAAGCCAGTGAAGAAGGAGTACTCCCAGACTGTGTTTCATTGTGATAAAGTATATATTTATCTATTACAATACAATGCCGGTAATGTAAATGTGGATGGTATTAGAAATAATAATAATGTTGATGCATCTGCTGCAGATACTGTAGGTACTATAACAGAGCTATTGTAAGGTGAATATTACAAGTAAGACAGCAGTGATGCTCTATGCATGAACTGGCACATTAGAAAACTTATGCATGAGAGAATTAGGATTCCTAGAAGGCTAGTAACTTACCATCCCATTGGGGAAGGTGCCTGCACATCGCTACATAATTGCAATAATCATGAGAACCCCATTTCACCTTGCCTCATGCTCACATTAATTTCATGATTACAGTATTCTTAATCCTCACACAACATATCTCATACATGATGCGGAGAACCGTAAATGTTAACATCTGACCTTTTGTTGTGGTTCTCTCTGTGTTTGAGAAAGTTACAAGCACAGAAATGCTGTTTCTGGGATTCTCTTTTGCAACAGGTCAATTCAGAGCCAGGAGTTTGATTTGAAATTATTTGACTGACAGAAAGTGTGAGCTTTACATTATTTAACTTAGACGTTATTTCCCCCTATTGTGTACAAAAAGTGAAGTGTAACTAGACAGACAGGACTGGAGAAGGTGGAGTAATACGAATGCTGTTAGATGATTTATCAGATTTATTTTATCAATTGGTTGACATATTCTGTAAACCCTAAACCCTAAAAAGATAATCTAATTTTTTATTTAATTCCAAAATATTTATGAACATGTGCACACAAGGTTAAACTACAAGATCCTCACACACTGCTACAAATTCAGATTTCTTTGAAGACAGGAAAAATAATCCCCAAATTCTCTTTTGTTTTTATGTTTTCCCACCTGCACCAACCAAGATTGAAAAACCTGTTATCAATATACCAAGAAATAAAGAGAGTCTGGATTTAAATATTGCTGAGAGCAGGGTTCCAAGGTTGCAACTACATTGTAATTCAGAGGTTCCATACTTCATCACCTGTGTGATGATTCTCGGTTCTTAAACATTTAGCAGATTATCAGTGGTTTAGATTGACCGACCAATGAAACACTAACAAGCAGTCGCCATTAGCCAATAAGAGAGCAGCTTTCTTGAACTTTGAGTTGCTCATTTTGAACTTACCACTTCCATTCCAGAATATGCTTTGAAAAATATTTTGACCAAGCTCTCGATTCAATTTGAGAAATGGTCAAAAGAAAATATCTAGAATGTCTAATAGATGGCCAGGATTGTATGGCAGTACATCCCACGGCTTTGGAAAGTCTCTTCCATTTGGAATGTTATTCCAGTGACGCGCGAGACTGGCAATGATTTTGACAGAATCAGTCGTACAGCTCCTGTGTTAGCCTTTTTGAGATTGCTGAATTTGAAAACATGTTCCGACCGTCTCTTTCCGACTCTAAGCAACACTGATTGGTCAGATGAAAGGTGTGACCCATAATAGGATGTTCACTGATCTTTGTTATGTGGTCGTGAGGACAAATATAATTCATATACATTGCGTTACCTATTGATGTACCTAACGATGAACACATGCCATGCAATGTTAAGCTAAAGAAAACTTTTTCATTAAAAAGTTGTGTCTACTTCAGATGTTCCATAAGTCACCATCCGTGTTATGGCTCACGGTTCTTAAACATTTAGCAGATTATCAGTTGTTTAGATTCTTTTCTCAATCACATATTAATGCTGGTAAAGTAAATGTTGTTTGTCGTTTAATGCCATACCCAAAAATGTTACATCATTATGACTGTGGACTGTAAAGTTTGGACTAGGAATTCTAGTGATAGACATCAGCTGGAATATGATGGCATGTCATCAACCAAGTCCTCAAGTCTGACTACCCGATCTATTACGTCCCCTCTCACAGCAAGAAATTCATGTTAAGATATTTTAGTGAAAAAATATGATGTCTTCAATGATATGTCCCATTATATTTCATTGTCTAAGCATCTTCACACAGTTTTTGTTGGCAAATATATGCCATTTATGAGAAAGTTGCCAATTGAAAAAAAATCCAAGTAATGTCATTTCTGCCATTAAAATGTCATGGTTTACAGTGAATGGACATTCATTTCCTGCCTAATGGCAATTTGTGAATGTTAAAATTTAAAAGTGCAATTTTTGTAATAATTCTGTTGTGTTTCAGCTGGCGACATTGACAGCGTCTCTCACCGAAGACAGCCCCAACCTGGGAAGCAGCCAATCAGCAGCCTCGGAACACGGCGATGCATCACGATATGACAAGGACAGAACCAACTCGTAGTTTCCTCCAGAACATGGCAGTTCACTCAGAGGAGATTAAACATGTCAGCAGTTTTATACAACAAGCACCAGTTCCCGTTGGGAGGAACGGTAATATGCCTGTGGCCTGCTTGTAGGCTACAGCCATTAACATGACAGTTGTGGACTAAATATGTCACTTGAGGATCTGAGGAAGAGCTACGAGCAATGAGCAGCATGTTTACGTGTGTTGAAACACTGCTTTATGCTTTATGTGTACTGACACACTTTAAAAACGCATGTTCAAATTTTTGTAATATTTGGCAAAATGGCCACAAATGAAATTAAGTTTTCGGGGTATTTAGGCATAAGATATTAAAACACCAAAACGTTGTAAAAGATTCAAATCTCATTTTATGTGTTTGAAGGCCCATATTCAATTTTTGGTAATATTTGGCAAAATAGTCACAAAAGGAAATTAAGTTTTCGGAGTATTTAGGCATAATATATTAAAACACCAAAATGCCGTAAAAGGTTCAAATCTCATTTGATGTGTTTGAAGGCCCATAATTCAAGTTTTTGTAATATTTGGCAAACTGGCCACAAAATGAAATTAAGTTTTTTGAGTATTTAGGCATAAGATATTAAAACACCAAAATGCCGTAAAAGGTTTCAAATCTCATTTGATGTGTTTGAAAGCCCATATTGAAATTTCTGTAATATTTGGCAAAATGGCCACAAAATGAAATTAAGTTTTCGGGTATTTAGGCATAAGATATCAAAACACCAAAATGTTGGAAAGGGTTCAAATCTCATTTGATGTGTTTGAAAGCCCATATTGAATTTTCTGTAATATTTGGCAAAATGGCCACAAATGAAATTAAGTTTTCGGGGTATTTAGGCATAAGATATCAAAACACCAAAACGCCGTAAAAGGTTAAAATCTCATTTGATGTGTTTGGAGGCCCATATTCAATTTTTGGTAACATTTGGCAAAATGCTCACAAATGAAATTAAGTTTTTGGGGTATTAAGGCATAAGATATTAAAACACCAAAACGTTTTAAAAGATTCAAATCTCATTGATGTGTTTGAAGGCCCATATTCAAGTTTTTGTAATATTTGGCAAACTGGCCACAAAATGAAATTAAGTTTTCGAGTATTAAGGCATAAGATATTAAAACACCAAAATGCCGTAAAAGGTTCAAATCTCATTTGATGTGTTTGAAAGCCCATATTGAGATTTCTGTAATATTTGGCAAAATGGCCACAAAATGAAATTAAGTTTTCGGGGTATTTAGGCATAAGATATCAAAACACCAAAATGTTGTAAAGGGTTCAAATCTCATTTGATGTGTTTGAAAGCCCATATTGAATTTTCTGTAATATTTGGCAAAATGGCCACAAAATGAAATTAAGTTTTCGGGGTATTTAGGCATAAGATAATAAAGAACAAAAATGTCGAAAGGGTTCAAATCTCATTTGATGTGCTTGTAAACTAATATTGAATTTTGTAATATTTGGCAAAATGGCAACAAAATGAAATTAAGTTACTTGGTATTTAGGCATAACATAATCAAACGTAATAATGTTGTCGTAAGGGTTCAAATGACATTTGATGTGTTTTGAGATAACTGCTAAAATCATTTCCTTGTCAAAATCATTTCCTTGTCATTCATTTTGATTTACCGGTAATGTGGATTTTGGGTTTTCATTGTGTTTCAGTATATATGATAAGCATAGGCAGATATCAACATTTATCTGATAGTTCTTATAGGGTTTTATTTACTTAGGGAAATGTGGTACAGGGGAATATGGCTTTAGTCATTGTTCTTGGAATGTCTCAATCTTGAACTGGTTAGTAGTGCTTTAATTTCCAAAAACACACCATCATATAATGTAAATGTTTTTTAAAATGGGTGTTTTCATATTTTCATTGATTGTACTGGTAGCTTATGGATATGTGAATATGAAATATTATGTATATGTAAATATGAATTGTTAATGTATCAGTGCAAATGATGTATTTTAGATAATCATGTATGTGTTATGTTGAAACCAGTGATGGAGAATGGAGAGCTACTTTTAATGCTTCACACTCAGCATCACTCTGGCACGGATGAGGACTTCCATTCACGGTCATGTTGATATGATTGTCATTTGAGTATCCGACACAGGAAGCTGCCTAACTTTGTGAAGCATCCCTAAAATGCCTTTGTAATACATTGGTCAGTGCAAAGTGGATCTCCTTCGATGAACTGTCCTCACATTGTTGTATTGTTAAATCATGGAGATCGTAATGTTTTACTAAATGATTATAATTATGATTAAGACTTATTTATGTTGCCTGGAATGATAGTCAAATGTTCTGAAGAAGTTTTTCTGTTCAATCAGTATGTTTTTAAATATATGATTTCAGATGTATGTGAGCTTTTCAAAGTGTTTTGATGATTGTCCGTACTAATATTTCATACCTTTATGTGGACTATCTATATTGAAGACTTCCCTTTTTGAAGTTGTTTTACTCAGTAGTGGGATTGACAGTCCTAACAATAGTAGGAGGGATTTAGATTTATCAGGTTTGCACAATCACTGAAACCTGGGGAACATTTTAAGATCAATCATTATTTAATTTCGAAAAGTCTACCCAGCTTCTTCAAGAACGTCATCCCGAAGCTGGGATTCGGATTGGGTAGATTGATGTTTCCCTGCCCTAAAGCATTGCTAGGCAACTATGGTAATAACTTGTCTTGCTGTAATAGTTTCTCCACATTACTACATTGCTCAAGGCTATTGCCGATGTGTTATGTGGCTTAAAAGTCAACCAGTCTGACTTACTTGTGTTTATCTTTCCCAGCTGCCTGTCTATCTAACTTGTCTGTCTTTATCTTTTTCTCTTGTGAGATTGAAAGTCCCGCCATACTTGTGTTCCCTGCCTGGTGTTTGTTGAATTCCATCTCCAGGCATCAGGAGGTGGTTGACACAAGTATGAGCTGGTTGATGTTCTCTCGCAGGTTCTCTTTCTTCCTCTGGTTATCTCTCACATCCACCACACTCTCCCTTTCTTTCACTATTCTCCTTGTTCCTGTGGGATTGAAAGTCCCGCCATGCTTGTGTTTCCTGCCTGGTGGTTGTTGAATTCCATCTCCAGGCATCAGGAGGTGGTTGACACAAGTATGAGCTGGTTGATGTTCTCTCGCAGGTTCTCTTTCTTCCTCTGGTTATCTCTCACATCCACCACACTCTCCCTTTCTTTCACTATTCTCCTTGATCCTGTGGGATTGAAAGTCCCGCCATGCTTGTGTTCCCTGCCTGGTGTTTGTTGAATTCCATCTCCAGGCATCAGGAGGTGGTTGACACAAGTATGAGCTGGTTGATGTTCTCTCGCAGGTTCTCTTTCTTCCTCTGGTTATCTCTCACATCCACCACACTCTCCCTTTCTTTCACTATTCTCCTTGATCCTGTGGGATTGAAAGTCCCGCCATGCTTGTGTTCCCTGCCTGGTGGTTGTTGAATTCCATCTCCAGGCATCAGGAGGTGGTTGACACAAGTATGAGCTGGTTGATGTTCTCTCGCAGGTTCTCTTTCTTCCTCTGGTTATCTCTCACATCCACCACACTCTCCCTTTCTTTCACTATTCTCCTTGATCCTGTGGGATTGAAAGTCCCGCCATGCTTGTGTTCCCTGCCTGGTGTTTGTTGAATTCCATCTCCAGGCATCAGGAGGTGGTTGACACAAGTATGAGCTGGTTGATGTTCTCTCACAGGTTCTCTTTCCCCTTCTTGCCCCCCACTCTCAGTCCCGGGCCTTGTGGAAGCCAGGTTGTTACAACATTCACCGTCACGCTGAGTACCCAGGTGCTATTGCCCACATGGGTGCAATGTGTGAAACCCAATTTTGGTAGCCCCAACTGTGACATGCCTGGAATATTGCGAATCAAAAGGCATTAAACCTCAATCACACACTTAACATAAAATTATTTTGTCTTGACATTCTCTCACAATGTCATTATAAATTTCTGATTACCTCACTCACTGCCCCGTGAAGATCCGGGTTAGAATAGGTCTTCAGCAACGCATGTTTGCCGTAATTGGCGACTGCTTGTCGTAAAAGGCGACTAACGGGATCGGGTTGTCAGGCTCGCTGACTTGGTTGATGCATGTCATCGATCCCAATTGCGTGGATCGATGCTCATGTTATCAATCACTGGATTGTCTGGTCCAGACTCGATTATTTACAGACCGCCGTTATATAGCTGGAATATTGCTGAGTGCGGCGTTAAACAACCAACCAACCAACCAACAGACCGCTGTCATATAGCTGGAATATTGCTGAGTGCAGTGTTAAACAACAAACAAAACAAAACAACATATCTCACTCACTCACTCACTCACCATCTGGGGTACCACAATTCTCTTTGCAGAGTTGTGCCCCTTAGGTATGCTATGATCCAGTGATCATGGGTTCTAATCCCAGTATCACCCTGATTATGATCCTTGGTTTGTCAGCACCATGTCTGTGCACATGTTTATCACCATAGTGGTAAACACATAAGATCTACCTCACTTCAAGCTTTCCTCCCACATTAAGCTGACATGCTGTGGTATGACTGAAAAAACAGTTGAAAGCAGTGTCAACCAAACACTCCACCACTTACCTTTCACTCTCCCTTTTTTTCACTATTCTCCTTGATCCTGTGGGATTGAAAGTCCCGCCATGCTTGTGTTCCCTGCCTGGTGTTTGTTGAATTCCATCTCCAGGCATCAGGAGGTGGTTGACACAAGTATGAGCTGGTTGATGTTCTCTCGCAGGTTCTCTTTCTTCCTCTGGTTATCTCTCACATCCACCACACTCTCCCTTTCTTTCACTATTCTCCTTGATCCTGTAGGATTGAAAGTCCCGCCATGCTTGTGTTCCCTGCCTGGTGGTTGTTGAATTCCATCTCCAGGCATCAGGAGGTGGTTGACACAAGTATGAGCTGGTTGATGTTCTCTCACAGGTTCTCTTTCTTCCTCTGGTTATCTCTCACATCCACCACACTCTCCCTTTCTTTCACTATTCTCCTTGATCCTGTGGGATTGAAAGTCCCGCCATGCTTGTGTTCCCTGCCTGGTGTTTGTTGAATTCCATCTCCAGGCATCAGGAGGTGGTTGACACAAGTATGAGCTGGTTGATGTTCTCTCACAGGTTCTCTTTCCCCTTCTTGGCCCCCACTCTCAGTCCCGGGCCTTGTGGAAGCCAGGTTGTTACAACATTCACCGTCACGCTGAGTACCCAGGTGCTATTGCCCACATGGGTGCAATGTGTGAAACCCAATTTTGGTAGCCCCAACTGTGACATGCCTGGAATATTGCGAATCAAAAGGCATTAAACCTCAATCACACACTTAACATAATTCATTTTGTCTTGACATTCTCTCACAATGTCATTATAAATTTCTGATTACCTCACTCACGGCCCGTGAAGATCCGGGTTAGAATAGGTCTTCAGCAACGCATGTTTGCCGTAATTGGCGACTGCTTGTCGTAAAAGGCGACTAACGGGATCGGGTTGTCAGGCTCGCTGACTTGGTTGATGCATGTCATCGATCCCAATTGCGTGGATCGATGCTCATGTTATCAATCACTGGATTGTCTGGTCCAGACTCGATTATTTACAGACCGCCGTTATATAGCTGGAATATTGCTGAGTGCGGCGTTAAACAACCAACCAACCAACCAACAGACCGCTGTCATATAGCTGGAATATTGCTGAGTGCAGTGTTAAACAACAAACAAAACAAAACAACATATCTCACTCACTCACTCACTCACCATCTGGGGTACCACAATTCTCTTTGCAGAGTTGTGCCCCTTAGGTATGCTATGATCCAGTGATCAAGGGTTCTAATCCCAGTATCACCCTGATTATGATCCTTGGTTTGTCAGCACCATGTCTGTGCACATGTTTATCACCATAGTGGTAAACACATAAGATCTCCCTCACTTCAAGCTTTCCTCCCACATTAAGCTGACATGCTGTGGTATGACTGAAAAAACAGTTGAAAGCAGTGTCAACCAAACACTCCACCACTTACCTTTCACTCTCCCTTTTTTTCACTATTCTCCTTGATCCTGTGGGATTGAAAGTCCCGCCATGCTTGTGTTCCCTGCCTGGTGGTTGTTGAATTCCATCTCCAGGCATCAGGAGGTGGTTGACACAAGTATGAGCTGGTTGATGTTCTCTCACAGGTTCTCTTTCTTCCTCTGGTTATCTCTCACATCCATCACACTCTCCCTTTCTTTCACTATTCTCCTTGATCCTGTGGGATTGAAAGTCCCGCCATGCTTGTGTTCCCTGCCTGGTGGTTGTTGAATTCCATCTCCAGGCATCAGGAGGTGGTTGACACAAGTATGAGCTGGTTGATGTTCTCTCACAGGTTCTCTTTCTTCCTCTGGTTATCTCTCACATCCACCACACTCTCCCTTTCTTTCACTGTTCTCCTTGATCCTGTGGGATTGAAAGTCCCGCCATGCTTGTGTTCCCTGCCTGGTGTTTGTTGAATTCCATCTCCAGGCATCAGGAGGTGGTTGACACAAGTATGAGCTGGTTGATGTTCTCTCACAGGTTCTCTTTCCCCTTCTTGCCCCCCACTCTCAGTCCCGGGCCTTGTGGAAGCCAGGTTGTTACAACATTCACCGTCACGCTGAGTACCCAGGTGCTATTGCCCACATGGGTGCAATGTGTGAAACCCAATTTTGGTAGCCCCAACTGTGACATGCCTGGAATATTGCGAATCAAAAGGCATTTAACCTCAATCACACACTTAACATAATTCATTTTGTCTTGACATTCTCTCACAATGTCATTATAAATTTCTGATTATCTCACTCATTCACTCACCATCTGGGGTACCACAATTCTCTTTGCAGAGTTGTGCCCCTTGGGTATGCTATGATCTAATGATTATGGGTTCGAATCCCAGTATCACCCTGATTATGATCCTTGGTTTGTCAGCACCATGTCTGTGCACATGTGTTTCACCATAGTGGTAAACACATAAGATCTGCCTCACTTCAAGCTTTCCTCCCACATTAAGCTGATATGCTGTGGTATGACTGAAAAAACAGTTGAAAGCAGTGTCAACCAAACACTCCACCACTTACCTTTCACTCTCCCTTTCTTTCACTATTCTCCTTGATCCTGTGGGATTGAAAGTCCCGCCATGCTTGTGTTCCCTGCCTGGTGGTTGTTGAATTCCATCTCCAGGCATCAGGAGGTGGTTGACACAAGTATGAGCTGGTTGATGTTCTCTCACAGGTTCTCTTTCTTCCTCTGGTTATCTCTCACATCCACCACACTCTCCCTTTCTTTCACTCTTCTCCTTGATCCTGTGAGATTCCTTGCTTGAATAGGGGGTGCTTCTCCATGCACCCAGCATCCACATGCATATGCAGTACGAGGTGGTGCCCCTACATGCAGTACGAGGTGGTGCCCCTCCATGCAGGAGGAGGTGGTGCCCCTCCATGCAGTACAAGGGGGTGCCCCTCCATGCAGTACGAGGCGGTGCCCCTCCATGCAGGACGAGGTGGTGCCCCTCCATGCAGTACGAGGCGGTGCCCCTCCATGCAGGAGGAGGTGGTGCCCCTCCATGCAGTACGAGGCGGTGCCCCTCCATGCAGGATGAGGAGGTGCCCCTCCATGCAGTATGAGGCGGTGCCCCTCCATGCAGGAGGAGGTGGTGCCCCTCCATGCAGGATGAGGTGCTGCCCCGATTCTCCCTCCTCACACATGGATGTCTGGGAATGACATGTCCCCAGTACCCCATAAGAGCCTTCAAGAAGGAGAATCTTGTGGTTAAAATGTTTCATCTTCTCAAGGTGTCAAACATCAAATATTAATGATCATTGCTCAAATCACTGGTTTGTCTGGTGGAGAATCTATTACTTACAGGCAGCCATGCTGATAATATGCCTGGGTAATATTGTCGTCCCAACTCACCCTTCTGAAGTCTGTACAACAAGCAGGTGGTCAACCCAGTCAACTTCCCACTTGGGGGTGACAAACACTAAAGCTGTTTTTAATCCAGTACAACAAGCAGAAGGTCTCCCCAGTCCAATTCCCACTTTGGGATGACGAACACTAAAGCTGTTTTCAATCAAGTAGAGGATGATGATGTTTATTTGATGAAAAATTTAGTGATTAGATCCTACTTGTGTTTGAAAATCCAAAGTTGATCATTTGTGTGCAAACACAAATACATTCATTAGTGTAATTTCAGATATTTTTATATTCTGTTTGTGGGGGTAATATATTTGTCGATATGTGTATGTGCTAACTTGGTTATTTATGGTACGCAAACCAGAATCATGATGAAATTGTTTGAATATTTTTTACTTTATTGTTGAAAATTATTTTTTTCTGAAGCGTAAGATGTGATTTGGGTAACAGTTGATTTATCACACAGGGTTTCTCTGCTTATTTGTAAAATGTCCACATATTCTCTAACAGCAGAGAGACCTCTACGAGTGTCAGAGAATGTGATATATTATGTTCATTTTGAAATACTGAATTATTACTCTAGCAATTACTGGTTATTCTACCAGTATGTTATCAGCTGGATGTGTATTCCATATGAAATCAGCGCAAGAGGCTGGTTTCTCAGAGTGAACCAAGGAGGTCTGTCACAGGCACACATAGAACATTTGTCAGGGTTAGTTGTGTATTCTGTCTATCAATACAGCAGTGCTTGTACAACCCCTGCAGGGCGAAGCACATAGAACATTTGTCAGGGTTAGTTGTGTATTCTGTCCATCAATACAGCAGTGCTTGTACAACCCCTGCAGGGCGAAGCACATTGAACATTTGTCAGGGTTAGTTGTGTATTCTGTCCATCCATACAGCAGTGCTTGTACAACCCCTGCAGGGCAAAGCACAGAGTCCCATGTTGTTCTCATGGACACATGGGATGCCAATAAATTAAAACCTTTACAATAGTTGTTGTTGTTTTACTTGAATATATATTAGGACATAGAAGGTGGTTTGAAGGCATTTTTAGCATGAACAGATAGCTGGAACAGACAGCTTGAATTGAACTTGTTTCATGGAGAAAACGGGGGCACTGGTGGCCCAGTCGTCTAAGGCGCCGCGATACTTTGGTTTATTTACGGGCTGTGTCATATAACAAGAATATTACTGAGTGAAGTGTTAAATAATAAACAAAAACACCAAATCCCAAATAGACTTTCATAGGAATTGTATTGGTGTTGAGAAGTGGGTGTTCTGGCAATACAGGACCGCTTGGTAGTCTAGTGGTAGAATGTTCACCCAGAGAGCGGAAGGTCTGGGGTTCGATCCCTGTTCGCGTCATGCCAAAGACGTTAAACGATAGTACTTTTCCTTGCCTGACGCTGGGCATTAAGGGGCTAAAACAAGGACTGGTCAGTATACTATGGCTAAGTGGGGTATTCAAGTTAAACTGGGGCATGGTATCTCAGTGGGCTAGCACTATAACATCGGCACACACACATACACACACATGCATGCAATAATCTTGAACTCAACCTTATACCCCACCTCACCTCAGACCCATGAACATCTGGGTTAGAATAGGTCTTCAGCAACCCATGCTTGAAGTAAAAGGTGTAAGAGGCGACTAACGGAATCGGGTGGTCAGGCTCGTTGACTTGGTTGATGCATGTCATTGTATCCTTATTGCGTGGATCGATGCTCATGATATCAATCACTGGATTGTCTGGTCCAGACTCGATTATTTACAGACCGCTGTCATATAGTTGGAATATAATGCTAAGTGCGGCATTAGACAACAAACAAACAAAAAACAAAACCTCACCTCAACTCTGGCAGTACAGAAGTGGACTATATGACCTCAAGAACTGGACCCTTGGCCCACAAGTAGAACCTGCTTGGATCAAGTTAGAGACCAGCAACACATGTAAGGTGCAGAGATGGCATTTTTCTGCATCCTCATCACAGGAACTCCAGTTCCTGTGATCCTCTCTTCCATCCCCACACACACAGGAGGAAAAAGGCTTGCTCATGATGTCAATCACTGGATTGTCTGGTCCAGACTCGATTATTTACAGACCGCCCTCATATAGCTGGAATATTGCTGAGTGCGGCGTTTAACAACAAACCAACCAACCAACCATTGTGAGGGCAGGGTTATGTGGACGTGGAATGGTCCTGTGGTCATATCGGCCGCTTGTCACTCCCACGATCTTGGTTCGTACCCCAACACAATGGGTGATATGGAGTCATGGTATTTGTCCTTTGGATTTTGTTACGAATAGGTCCCAATAGGTCACTAATGTTTGCACCACATTAGAGATTACTACGGGTGGATCGGGTGGTCAGACTCGGTGATGCCCTTTGGTTGATAACGTGTCATCTTACCACGAATGCGTGAATTGTTGCTCATAACATCAATCACTAGATTGTCTTGTCCAGACTCGATTATTTAGAGACAGCCGTCATATAGCTTGAATATTGCGGAGTTTTGCGTTAAACAACAAACAAACTACCAACAAATTTACGGTCCATAAAGTTGCGTGAAATAATGAAATGTCTTTCTTTTGGAACTGCCATTGCCAAGACCCGATATCTAAACCCACACTCCGCCCACATGCCCTTTGGCTCCTGTAGAACCACATGGAGAAGGCGTACTTCCTAGATAGGTTCAAAAACACGGACCCCTGAAAACATCAGGTGTTTTAGACAGATGCGTGTACATTCATATATAGGTGACCTTTCCCAATCCTCGTGTCCCATAAACTCACACCAAGGTACACTCATGTTGGTTCTACTGTGCCTCTCCCTTGCCTTCAGCGCAGTGCTGGGTGAGTAAATACAGCCACTAACGGAAAGTCTGTAATCTCGATCTGTTTTCTGCGAATAATGGCATCCTAGACGGGACAAAAACACGCAAAACCAGTCAACATTAACCAAAGCGAGACAACGCGCCTTTTCGATCATTTCTGCTATTGTGGCGGTGTCACATGAATTTTTTTTTTCAAAGGATCCGGCCCAGAATAGGTCTTCAGCAACCCATGCTTGCCGTACAAAGCGACTATGCTTGTTGTAAGAGGCGACTAACGGGATCGAGTGGTCAGCTCGCATGTCAGCTGGTTCATCATGTCATCGTATCACAATTGCTCAAATCGATACTTATGACGTCAATCTCTGGATTGTGTGGTCCAGACTCGATTATTTACACACCGCCGCCATACAGCTGGAACATTGCTTAGTGCGGCGTTAAACAAACAAACACTAGACCTTACATATACTTCCCTACTGCACAGAGGGAATCAGTGAGTGTGTATGATTTTGCTCCGCTTTTAGCAGTATAATAGCAATAACATGAGCACGGGCACATTCAACCAAAGCTGCATACGGACGCTAGAGGGTTTATACATCCACCTCACATATAGGGTACCCAGTCCCTGCTGCAAAGGGGCACATATGAACTACAGTAAACTACGTTTATAACGAACACGCTTATAACGAACTGACGGATAGAACGAACTTACTTTTTTGTCCCTAAAATTTGCTGAAGTTATGCTGTGAATATGCTTATAACGAGCTACGGTTATAACAAACAAAAATTAGTAGTCCCTTTGAGTTCGTTATAACCGTAGTTTACTGCATGTCGCATGCCCACGTTTTGACACTTGTGTTTCGTGAAGGTATTCGTGTTTCCACCATCTGGACATCGGATAAGTGTGTTCTTTTTAATGCATATGCTGAATGTACTGTACATTAGGCATAGTGACAATATTGTAAAGACCTGTTAGCACCGTTGGTCCATGGGACCAAGGATAACAACCCATTCGCGAGCGGTACGACCTCAGCACCTGGCGTTTGCTGGTCCGGCGCTTTTGACCGCTTGACCACTCCTCCCCCGGAGTATATCTAATCTTCCTTGTCTATTACATGATAGAAATTGTAAATTAAAAATTAAAAAATGAATAATAAATACATCAAAATTATGGTAGTGTTATTATATCTCAGTTCTCTGGCATTTGGTTGCTAATTCAATGCAATGTTGCGACTCATCAGTCCAGAAATAATATTACAACAGATTGGTTCCTTACTGTCGATAAAAAACTACTTTGGCAAAGCGGAATTAAAAGACTCAGTCTACAAGAGTATGTTCGAGAAACATATATATTGCTCTTTTTAAGGTGACTCCTGCACGGAGCACGTGCACGCTACTTTTGGCAAGGTCGGGAAGTGTATCAAGAAGTCCTGCTGTGAATACGCCACCTACATTTCCTCCCTGTGTCCCGGGGATGATACAGCCTGCTGCTTCAAACGTGATACATGTGGATCTCTGAGTAAGTCAAGGTATCCGTAGGATACTAGTCTATCCCGGATGTTCACGGGCCCCCAGTCAGCTAAGGCGCCTCAATAAGCAAAGTTTTGATCCGTATTGGTTTGAATCTAGGTTCGCCTTGATCACGTGCCAGCATCATACCCTTGTGGCGTTTCACTTGGAGCTTATATCCCGCATTTGGGGCCACGGGTGCCCCACTCGTCTAAGGCGCCGTGATTCGCTGTGCAGAGTTGCGTCCCTTGGGCACGCCAAAAACCTATGATTGTGGGTTCGAATCCCGGTTCACCCCGATTATGTTTCTAGGTTTGTCAGCACCATACCCATGCTCGTGGGTTTCACCGAAGTGGTAAAAGACTGAGACCTGCATCACTTCGGACTTTCTTCCCTCATTAAGCTGACATGCCGCGATGTAACTGGAATACTGTTAAAAAGCGGCGTTAAACCCAACTCTCTCAGTCTCTCCTCCCACTTAAGCTGTCCCGCCGTGATATAACTGGAATATTGTTTAAAGCGGCATAAAGTCAGATTCACTTACTGCCCAAAGGTGAAAGGTGACTTAAATCGAGTCTTTCATTATAAGATAATTTTATTATTTTTTGTCTAAAGCCTCCTTTCCTGCATATTGGTCCATGAACTAGGTATGTACTTGTACCAGGAAGCCAGAACTCTCCCTGAACAACACGAGATGAACTACTTGTTTTCTCCCCCCAGGTGCCGGGTGCCCCCACATCGTGTCCCGTGCGTCCTGGGGTGCCCGCTCCCCTCGCTCCACCAGCTACATGCCGGGGCCGGCCAAGTATGTGTTCATCCACCACGGGGAGAGCGGCTCGTGTTCCACCCAGAGCGCATGTTCCGCCATTGTCCGGAGCTACCAGAACTACCACATGGATACACACGGTCAGTCGACGACGTTGTTGTTGTTGTTGGGACGTATACTCCCCAGGGTGCCCACTGGGTCCACCCGGTTGTGCAGTCATGGATGCAGCTTCCGTTAATATTATCGACTGATGTCGGGAACTTTCTTTATGAATACCAAAAGAGGCGACGACTTACAACTTAATCCCTATTTTGAGATATCAAGTTTATGATATCAATGAATAAATAAGGGATGTCAATGAATAGAAATGTGGATATCTAAAGCCCATTAGCTTTTATTGATACATAAAAATGTACATATCCCTTTTTTATATTTCAATATCATGGCAATCTCATTGAAATCAAATCTTTTATCTCGCATACGGTATCTATCTGCGTTAGTGGACGAATCGTATCGGGGTAAAATATCTGATTTTAATCAGATTGATAATCAGGGCGAACTTTACATATAAAAATAGAATTATTGATATTACTAGTTCCTCATTCTACAAGAACAATTACACCAAATATTTAAAAAAACAATTCATTTAATGCAGTAAAGAATCGAGGTTGTAAGCCTTTCATAAATGTGTCACGACCATTAAGATCACAATTCTATTTTTAGATATCATTCAGTAGCTATGAATTTAAAATATATAATATATAACATGTTACTTAAAATTCACGAACAATCGTTTTCATGATTTAAATATCGAATTAGTGACATCAATGAAAACGTGACATCACTTATTCCTTTTTAAAATATCGCATTTTTTAATAAAATACAGAATAAATAGTTAAAAAAAAACATTGTTTAAAAATAACATGTTCTGTTGCAGGATGGAGAGATATGGGTACAGTTTCCTCTATACACAACATGTTCTGTTGCAGGGTGGGGAGATATGGGTACAGTTTCCTCTATATACAACATGTTCTGTTGCAGGGTGGAGTGATATGGGTACAGTTTCCTCTATACACAACATGTTCTGTTGCAGGGTGGAGAGATATAGGTACAGTTTCCTCTATATACAACATGTTCTGTTGCAGGGTGGAGAGATATGGGTACAGTTTCCTCTATATACAACATGTTCTGTTGCAGGGTGGAGAGATATGGGTACAGTTTCCTCTATATACAACATGTTCTGTTGCAGGGTGGAGAGATATGGGTACAGTTTCCTCTATATACAACATGTTCTGTTGCAGGGTGGAGAGATATGGGTACAGTTTCCTCTATATACAACATGTTCTGTTGCAGGGTGGAGTGATATGGGTACAGTTTCCTCTATATACAACATGTTCTGTTGCAGGGCTGAGAGATATCGGGTACAGTTTCCTCTATATACAACATGTTCTGTTGCAGGGTGGAGAGATATGGGTACAGTTTCCTCTATATACAACATTTTCTGTTGCAGGGTGGAGAGATATGGGTACAGTTTCCTCTATATACAGCATGTTCTGTTGCAGGGTGGAGTGATATGGGTACAGTTTCCTCTATATACAACATGTTCTGTTGCAGGGCTGAGAGATATCGGGTACAGTTTCCTCTATATACAACATGTTCTGTTGCAGGGTGGAGAGATATGGGTACAGTTTCCTCTATATACAACATTTTCTGTTGCAGGGTGGAGAGATATGGGTACAGTTTCCTCTATATACAACATGTTCTGTTGCAGGGTGGAGTGATATCGGGTACAGTCTTCTATATACGACATGTTCTGTTGCAGGGTGGAGTGATATAGGTACAGTTTCCTCTCTATACAACATGTTCTGTAGCAGGGTGGAGTGATATCGGGTACAGTTTCCTCTATATACAACATGTTCTGTTGCAGGATGAATGGAGAGATATGGGTACAGTTTCCTCTATATACAACATGTTCTGTTGCAGGGTGGAGAGATATGGGTACATATGGAGTGATATCGGGTACAGTTTCCTCTATATACAACATGTTCCGTTGCAGGGTAGAGAGATATGGGTACATATGGAGTGATATCGGGTACAGTTTCCTCTATATACAACATGTTCTGTTGCAGGGTGGAGTGATATCGGGTACAGTTTCCTCGTGGGTGAGGACGGCAATGCATACGAGGGGCGTGGCTGGGACAAGATTGGGGCTCATACCCAGGGCTATAATTCAGTCGGGCTTGGTAAGTTACACGACTTTGTTTGGAATACGATGACATGCCGGTGTCACCTCGACTTGAATACCTGGTCACACAATAGTTGGTTTGCCGTTTCCGGTTTCGTTTCTTGTAAGAAAACTGAGTTTATTAATATTTGTATTTTAAGGAAAGTGCAACAATGTTTTACAGTTCTCTCGTATATCCCAAAGAACAATGAAGAACGAAGTGTGGTTTATTTCATGATAAAACATTGTTCTATCATGACGTCACTACTGGGCTCGAACTTGAAGACGTCATATATTGGACGACGTTATTTTTGAGAGGGAAGTGTCTGGTAAGTTGTTCCCCATAGATGTAGCTGGGCTACGCAAATAAATGCAGGGGCCGTACGGTCGTGGTCCAGACGTGGGAAAGATATGACAATCGGTATTAGGAGAAAAGGTGCAGATGATCGACGTGAGGATTGTGAGAATATGCGGGAAATACCAAACTTAACCCACCTGTTCGTTATATGGACTTGTCCGATATTTCCGAGGTCGGATTCTATTCAGGGAGTCATCATTGTTAAAATTTGGGTAAATATTTCTAAAGCTTGTACATTTGATCACCATCCTTAAAGAGGCTGTGCATGATGTTGACATCTCATATTAGACCTATATTTTGACACTACTACTACTACTACTACTACTACTACTACTACTACTACTACTACTGTCTACTTCAGCAACCCATGCTTTCCGTAAAAGGCGACTATGCTTGTCGTAAGAGGCGACCAGCGGGATCGGGTGGTCAGGCTCGCTGACTTGGTTGAGGCATGTCATCGTATCCCAATTGTGTAGATCGATGCTCATGATGGCAGTCACTGGATTGTGTGGTCCAGACTCCATTATTTACAGACCGCCGTCATATAGCTGGAATATTTCTGAGTGTGGCGTTTAACAACAAGCAAAAAAAAAACTACTACTACTAGACGTTTTAATGCGCCTATTTAATGCTTTTAATGAACGAGAATGACACATGGGCAATCTACTGCATTAGAAAAAGTCATATCTAATTCTGAGGTCTACAATAGATTTCACTGTATTTCATTATTCTCGTCCCAGGTTTCTGCATGATCGGTTCATTTGACAACCACGTCCCCAACGCAGCGGCCCTCAACACCGTCAAGAACCTCATCGCGTGTGGGGTGGGGAAGGGCAAGATCAAGTCCACATATACGTTGAGAGGTCATCGTGACATGAACCAGACCTCCTGCCCGGGAACAGCATTGTACAACCTCATAAAGACCTGGCCCCACTACTGAACAAACGGACACTGTGGCAGTTGACAATAAAGGGATGTAGAGAAATATATATGTGTTCCTCATGTTGATTACTAACTGTCAAAACTTTGTACACGGCTGCACCACAGGAAAAGCTTCATTCCTTAATTCATGACGTGTTTGTTCCAAAACGTGGTAACCATATATATATTTAGATATCTATATTTCAGGACAAGTTGTTAAAAACGAATGCAAATGCCATCGGTTTTACTGAAAAAAAAAATTGAAATGTTTGTCTTCCTCACTGATAAAATCTATGTAAAATTTGGGGGGTAAGACTTGAGGCAAGAAGTAGGCATCCCCGTGGACACAAAGATGTGCTTCCCTTTTCGCTGGTTTGTTTCTTTATGCCCAGAATAGGAATTTCTGCTCGGGTTGGCAAAGTCAAAACAAAGGAATTTGGACAAGAAGTTCAATAACCATTAAAAAACCAATTCCCTTCCACTGATTTACCCACCTAGACTAGACATAAAGGAATCAAGTGAGACCGCCTAGTCTGTTTCATATTTAGATCTTTGCACACATATTCAGAGTGACAAAAACCTCTCCCCGAGACTGTATGACAAGGAGGACGACTTCAACTGTCCAATAGTCAACTTCCCGTTTATATCGAGCAATATTCCTGCAGCTCCAGCCTTTGGTGTCTACATTTCACAAGTTTGAGATACAATCGAGCATGCTCCTTCTACCAAGATTTCAAAGAGCGTCATATGATTCTTGCTCAGAATTTGTTATTTTCATCAAGATTACAACATTCGAAGCCTCGGTCACGCTTTCCAAAAGTTTTATTGAAGGCATACGGGGGACATTTCCAAATTTGCCTCATCGGTGACAAAAAATGATGTCCAATTCACTATTTTCACTGGTACTTTGCTGTCTTATTCACTCTTGCTTGTCAACCGTATAAGGATTTTTTCCGAAACGTCGCATCATAATGAATAGAAAAGTTGTCATCTATAAAATATCTTGTCTTTAGTGTTACTAATAAATCTAATAAATGCCAATCAAACGTATTTCAAACGTAGTTTACTGTACTTGAACATCATTATGTGTCTTCATTTGATGGTTGAGATACCTTCCCTTCAGAATACGTAGTTCTGTTTTCCAGTATGTGATGATATGAACGTACAGTAAACTACGATTATAACGAACACGCTTATAACGAACTGGCGGAAACAACGAACTGTTTTTTTTGTCCCGGCCATTTGCTGTATATATGCTTCTAACAAACTGCGGTTATACCGAACTAAAATTTGATGGTCCCTTTGAGTTCGTTATAATCGTAGTTTACTGTATGTACATCTACAGAAGAAAATGTATCTAACTGACAAAGACAGTTTGATAGGGTAACAATATTGCCAGACGAAATACCCACACAGGCCTACAGACACAGTTATAGGCAACTTTGGACTACTTCTGCTCACACTCAAATGTTCTTTTCCAGGACTGCACAGTGTATGTCAAGATTCAAGCTAAACGAATTAATGGAATGGTTAAAAGGAATCAAACGCTTTTGGAATTGAACTGCTTGCGTCATTGAGTATTTTGTTCAGACATAACCAGCAAATATTACTGTAAATATAAACAAGGTGAAGTGAGGTGAAATGGGGTTTACGTCGCGTCCAAGATTATTGCACTTATATAGCGACGTGCATGTACGTGTATGCGTGTGTGTGTGGCTGCTTGTACTAGTCCGGACTGATGCCGATTTATAGTGCTAGCTCACTGAGATACCATGCCGCAGTTTAACATGATTACCCCACTCAGACACAGTATACTGACTCCGAGCCGACCAGTCCTTGTTTTAACCCCTTAATGCCGAGCGCCAGACAGAGTAACAACAAGTACCATCTTTTAACGTCTTTTGGTATGGCGCGGTCGGGGATCGAACCCCGGACCTTCCGCTCTCCGGGCGCTCTACCATTAGACCACGAAGGCGGTCAAATATAAACAAAAGAAAATCCATAAACAAAAGCAATCTCTGCTAAAAGCAGTCAGCTGTACGATTCTGACTGTATCATAAGCATGTGTTTGTGAATCACTATGAAATAGTGATGATACCAGGTGTTAGCGAAAAGGTGAACGTTCTGCCTCACCGCTTGTACCCCCCACAAATACACTAATTACATAATTTAAATAAAACCCCAAAACATATAGAAGTGACATATTTCCATTTAAAGCCACGTGTGACACTGTTCTTGTTACGTTCAGAGATGGAGTCATCAAAAGTCCAAGGTACTTATAGTCGGATACAAATTCAACAATTTCAATACGATTCCATCTTTACCAAAAAAAATTATGTTTTCTATAGGTTAACATAATTATACGGTCCATGCTGAACAAAGATCATCTAGAAAATGCAGTTTCTCTTGTAGCATACTTACTTTCTCAGAAATAAAAATAACATCATCAGCCAACAACAAAAGAACAATTCATGTAAATCAGAGAATAAGTGTCTCCTCGTCGACATGTATGACAATGGGTATTTGTATGGAAAACACATACTTTATTTTGCTCCTTCATCGATGTTATCAAATATAATACATTATGTCATGTTTACATCCAAACGTCTGAATGCTTATTAATATTCTCTCAGACATTTAAAATTTTAAAATAATATTAAGCTCAATATAAGACAAGAAAATAATAATAGATGTGTTTCAGGTAACACTGACTTGAGAAAGATGGGAAGATACCTAGGATAATATTTATTTATTTAAATTGTATTATGTAATTCAATGTCAAGTAATTGGTTGATGATATGATGTTATAAGTAAAGGGGGATAAGAAATAAAAAACCTCACCAAATACAGCAGCAGTTGATATTCTAAATAATGAAGTTTGAATTCCAAAGCCCAACTGCTACATACTGGGAGCAGTAAAAAACAAATATCATAAGAGTGAGTGAGTTTTAGTTTAACGCCGCTTTTAACATTATTCCAGTTATATCACGGCGTGTCAGCTTAATGAGGGAAGAAAGCTCGAAGTGATGCAGGTCTCAGACGTTTACAACTTCGGTGAAACCCACGAGCACCGGCATGGTGCTGACAAACCTAGAAACATAATCGGGGCGAACCGGGATTCGAACCCACAATCATAGGTTTCTGGCGTGCCCAAGGGACGCAACTCTGCACAGCGAAGCACGGCGCCTTAGACGACTGGGCCACCCGTGCCCCCAAATATAATAAGAAACATCTTGGACAAGCATCATTTTCAGCAATCCTCACAAATGAATCCTCATGCTTTGCTACAGTATTAAATGTTAAGAACTACAGAAATAAAGAAAATCTGTTTCACCCAAGCTGTTGTTAAAGTTAACACCGTTGAATACCAATGAAAGTAATTTCAACACACTGGGTGAAGAAATATTGAGTTTGACTCAACTCAACTATATTTGTGGCCTCAGCTGCCCTGTTTATCAAACTACCTTTACGTCTTACACATGTCCCAGAAGAATACAGAAACTGAATCACATTCAACATTTTAACTAAATTTTAGAGGTGAGGTGAAATGGGGTTTAACGTCGCGTCCAAGATTATTGCACTTATATAGCGACGTGCGTGCACGTGTATGTGTGTGTGGCTGCTTGTACTAGTCCAGACTGATGCCGATTTATAGTGCTAGCACACTGAGATACCATGTCGCAGTTTAACATGAATACCCCACTCAGACACAGTATACTGACTCCGAGCCAACCAGTCCTTGTTTTAGCCCCTTAATGCCGAGCGCCAGACAGGGTAACAACAAGTACCATCTTTTAACGTCTTTTGGTATGACGGGGCCGGGGATCGAACCCCGCCGGACCTTCCGCTCTCCGGGCGGACGCTCTACCACTAGACCACGGAGGCGGTCTTCTCAATTTTAGAACTTACATGAGGCTTTTTTTCTGTCTACGGAATCAAATGTTTTTGAAAAGTCCATAACGGCAACATAGAATCTACCTTTTCGTTTACTAAATAAATATACAATCAGATATGAAAAATAATGATTATCCGACGAAACAAGCTGATAATGATAACTACTGCTGATATTTTCTAGGAATCATGTCTCACTGAAAATAATAAGCGCCCCGAATCAATCGTCTCATAGTACCAGACAAAGTATTATGTCAAAGAAACACAGATTATTTGAGTCGCGCCCTACATATTGTCCTTTCGTTAACGAGATATGTGAAAGAGCACCTGTGAATAATGTTCCAGTAAATATACTCTACATTTTGACACAGTTTACCAACTATAAACATTGATTTCCATTGTTTTGTTTGAATTAGGAAAATGTCAAAGGATAGTTTAACATATTTCCATGTTACGTTGACCCCACAAAACCCTGCCAAGGACGGAATTTTGTAAGCGTAAGCCATAGATACACCAAAGTAGGAACTAATCATTTAAAGTGCTATTCGTTAAGATTTGTGGATGTTGACCTTAACGTTGACCTCATATGTAGAGATAAGACTGAGATATACGAAGTGACTGTGTCACATGGAATGTTACAGTTCCCTGTGAACCGCAAGTGAAATAACCAGCTACATCTCCTAGCCGAAGGAAGCGATGATTTGGTATAACTTGCTGACTTGTCACCTAGCGCAGTTTTGCAATAGTTAAAAAAAAGTATTCCCGCACTACGATCCCGGTACCAAAACTGCGATAGTATTGCCATGGATGATAAGTACATTGGCCGTCCTTCAGTGTGTTCTCGAGCATTAGACAACATGGTGTGAATAACCAGTCTAGATAATCCGCCGGAACAAATTCCAGTTGCCATAAAGGGCATGCTAGCAATGAAAATTATATGGTTTGTTTTGTTTGTTGTTTAACGTCGCACTCAGCAATATTACAGCTATATGACGGCGGTCTGTAAACAATCGAGTCTGTCCCAGACAATCAAGTGATTGACATTATGAGCATCGATCCACGCAATTGGGATACGATGACATGCATCAATCAAGACAGCGAACCTGAAAATTATATGAATAGACCTATGAAAATCAGTAATGACAAATGCATAGATTCAGCAGACTGGTTTAGAAGGTGTAGGGCGTGCAGGGAGGTGCTAGTCATTTTCAGGCAGGGTGCAGGGTGATCAAAACGAAAAGAAAAAATAATGCAAACCAGTATAACATTAATCTGATTATGTCGATCAATATCAATACTGTCGATAGTTTACCACTGCATCGATGCTGAGTATTGATAGTGTTGATGCTTTCTTATCGGGTAATGGAACGATGGTTATGCACCGATAACTCGATCAGTTTGTCCAAACTCAGCTTGTCACAAGGAGTGTCGCCAAATTGTAATTGTGAATGGAGTTGTGTGTGCGTGTGTATGTGCGTGTGTGCGTGCGTGCGTGCGTGCGTGCGTGCGCGTGTGTGTGCGCGTGCGTGTGCGTGTGTGTAACATCGGGACAGGCATGGTACAAAGCACACAGATATTTTACTGTAACATTATTGCGATATTGCTGGAATGTTATTAAAGACGGCGTAACACTCAACTCATATAATTAACAATGATATTGGCATACGTCGATAGGTGATTACGAACAAAATGTACAAGGGAGTAGAGGAAGGTAAATATGTTGTGAGTACTCTGATGGACCAAAGATTTCCGATCCGCTGAAATAGATTGTCTCACCTATATGGACTGTTCTCAAAACATGGGGCAGGCCGTGAACACGTTTTTGATGAAACTATTACATCAAGATAAAGGTATTGTTCCGGTAATATATTAACCCATACCCACACCTATTCTAAATCGTGCATGAACAATAGAGTGAGAAATGTACGCAAATGCCCATGAAAGGGAGAACTATATCATTAGTAACAAAGTGAAACAAGCCACGCCTGTCGCTTTATTGAAGAGAATCATGCAATGTACCGTACGGTCTACGGTGTCAGCATGATAAAACAGGTTAGCAGGGACAAAAGGTCCACGCTGTCATCTATTTTACCAAGTATGGTTGTTATGGTAAAATGACATGCTTATTAATGGATAATGTCTGCGTTTAAAGTTGTGACATTAAAGCTAGAAATGGCGCTGTGACAGTGGATCATTATGTCGAGAGGTGCACTCGAGTCTCCACCCACTTGCATGTGCTGGTGGTGCAGTTTAGTCATGCAACGCAGTTGGGGTGGTCAACTCACGCACTTGACAGAAACCTCACCCTTTCCTTTCAAACTTGAAATATAAAACTATTTCTCTCTCTCTCCCCCTCTCTCTTTTCTCTCGCTCGCTTTTCTCTCTCTCTCTCTCCCTCTCTCTCTGCTCCCTCTTCTCTCTATCTCCCTCTATCTTCTCTCTTCTCTCTCTCTTCTCTCTCCCCCCCTCTATCTCCCTCCATCTCCCTCTCTCCCCCCTCCCTCTCAAGCTTCAATCTCACAGCAACTTTTTATGTTGTGATTTGTAGGAGCAAACAAGTAAAATTCATCTCTTGTCCCTTTAGGAAATCGGATGCTCCTCAATCTGAACCTCCACGCTTTTCACACATCTGTTCATAACAACATAAATACAACATTTATGTGTCCGTGGACGATAACACACAATCAGTCAGCGAGCCAGACCACCCGATCTATTTACTAGCCTTTTACGATTAACATAGCTTAATGGGGACCAGTGGTAACCCGGGATCTCCACGTGTTTACGACGGCGTATATGTGAGATGGAGAGTAAGGTGTCTGACTGCTTTCAACAGTATTGCAGTTTTGTTACGAAGTGTAAGGTTTAAAGGGGATTGGGTCCGACTTAACTTGCAGCCCTAGCATAGTTTAACAAATCCCTTCCCATTTAAAAGTAACAGCAAAAAGCAGAGTCCATTGCACGATTTCTACTGTATGTCCGATAAAAGCGACAAGACCCTTTACACCTTCATGAGAAATCTCTGCTGAAAGCGATTCCGAATTTATCATGAGATGTTTGTGAAACAAAATGTGATGATAACAGGTTTTCGCGAGCTTGTATCAATGAATCACATCCCAAACACAAGCAAAAGCAGACCAAATATACACTGAAACATGTGGTGCAAGTCATAACAGTCATTCACAACCCACCTTGTCTGTCTCTCTGTAAACTCACATTCAAACTAATTTTTGCGTTTTATCTATCTAGCAAATTGTACAAATGTGTATTATCAATCTAGCAAATTGTTTAGTGTTTTATGTGTCTATCAGATTGTATTATGTGTATTATCAATCTAGCAAATTGTTTAGTGTTTTATGTGTCTATTAGATTGTATTATGTGTATTATCAATCTAGCAAATTGTATAGTGTTTTATATGTCTATCAGATTGTATTATGTGTATTATCAATCTAGCAAATTGTATAGTGTTTTATGTGTCTATCAGATTGTATTATGTGTATTATCAATCTAGCAAATTGTTTAGTGTTTTATGTGTCTATCAGATTGTATTATGTGTATTATCAATCTAGCAAATTGTATAGTGTTTTATGTGTCTATCAGATTGTATTATGTGTATTATCAATCTAGCAAATTGTATAGTGTTTTATATGTCCATCAGATTGTATTATGTGTATTATCAATCTAGCAAACTGTATTGTGTTAGGGAATGAATCAAATAATGGATTGAATCAATTAATAGAATGAATCAATTAATGGAATGAATCAATTAATGGAATGAATCAATTAATGGAATGAATCAATTAATGGAATGAATCAATTAATGAATCACATCCCAAACACAAAGCCAGATCAAATATTCACTGAAACATGTGGTGCAAGTCATAACAGTCATTCATAACCCACTTTATCTTTCTGTGAACTCAAATTCGATTTAATTATGTGTTTTATCGATCCAGCAAATTGTACAATGTGTGTTATCAGTCTAGCAAATTGATTTGTGTTTTACGCGTCTATCAGATTGTATTATGTGTATTATCAATCTAGCAAATTGTATTGTGTTTTACGTGTCTATTAGATTGTATTATGTGTATTATCAATCTAGCAAATTATATTATTAGATTGTATTATGTATATTCTCTATCCAGCAAATTGTATTATGCGTTTCATCTGTCCAGCAAATTGTATTATGCGTTTCATCTGTCCAGCAAATTGTATTATGCGTTTCATCTGTCCAGCAAATTGTATTATGCGTTTCATCTGTCCAGAAAATTGTACTACGTGTTTTATCTATATAGCAAACTGTACTATGTGATTTATCCGTCTAGCAAATTGTACTACGTGTTTTATCTGTATAGCAAATTGTACTATGTGATTCATCTGTCCAAAAAATTGTGCGACATGTTTTATCCGTATAGCAAACTGTACTATGTAATTTATCTGTCTAGCAAATTGTACTACGTGTCTTATCCGTATAGCAAACTGTACTATGTAATTTATCTGTCTAGCAAATTGTACTACGTGTCTTATCCGTATACCAAACTGTACTATATGATTTATCTGTCTAGTAAACTGTACTATGGTTGACGCATGCCATCGTATCACAACTGCGTCAGGTCCAGACGTCATATAGCTGGAATATCGCTGAAAGCGGCGTGAAACACCAAACAAGCATAACATAAAGACAAGGTCTTATTACGACTCAGGGCACTAATTACAACGTTCAAACCAAACCCGATAATGGCCCGATTTAATTTTTTCTCAATCTGTATCTGCTTCTTGTCGCACATCAACACCGAAATACACCGAGTGTCAGCTACGGAGATATGCCCTTCCCTTATGTAACTTGCTAGTTTCCCCCAACACAAGTACAAGGAACATGTCTGACATTTTGCCCTGTCTTGTATAAATCATGTACAGCCAACACATGTATGTCAAAGGTTACTATCAAACAAAATGTGGCTCTTGTAAAGGCGTATTTGCGTGTAAATTATCGCCTCATTTGCCACATAAACCAGACGCATGCGCCCACGTCTGTCACGACACGTCTCGCAAATAGTACATGTCATCATCCTGGGTCAAGCTCGTGAAGACACATGCAGATCATGTTTATTTGATATTTTTGTATATTTTTTAATAAAGGAAGTTTGTTAACAGCAATTAACATCCTATATTAACGTAAGCGACAGGTAACTGAAATAAATAAGTAATTTCACTGTAAAGAAGGCAAGTTAAACAGAAGCTTGACAGGGAAGCATGACACAAACGCCGTGACATTATTAAAATGTCTCTTGAGTGAGAACCGTAATAAAACTAATTATTATTGTGGAATAATTACTACTACAATATTAACACCCACAAAATGCCTTCAACAAGTGAATGTGGTGCTTTACAGGAATAGTGCGTAGGAAGTCAATGCGTATGGTGATTAGTATACACATAGTGGATGACAGGTGGCAGAGTAAATGCAGACGTACAATCAACACAATTAAGCGATACAGAAGCGATGTTACTACAGTGAAAAATGTGAAGAATTTGAATTTTCATACCAACTGCCCTAATAGCAATCGAACCTGGTTCGATTCTTTCACGACGTAGCTATCTGAGGCGTTACACTCCTTCTTATAACTTCCATCAAAAATGGGCATATTTTCCTTGTCCATCTTCTATGACAAATAACTCTCTGATGTATTTGCTACCTTCGTGTCATGAATACTGTGACTGTAAGTTACTCCTATCATCATGTACATTTGTAGTGTAATAAGTAAATGACGGAAACTCTCTGCTCATTGACTTGTTCGGGACTTCCTGCTGTTTCTAGAGGGCGTCATCAACGTTATACTGTGACAAAGCGATGTGTTTATAGACTATAATTGTAACAAGGAAAAGCTGAAAATGTGTATAAATCGCTGGCCATTTCAGGTTGTAGAACAGCCGTGATCGTCTAGTGGTTAGGACTTTGCGTTGTGGCCGCAAGAACCCAGGTTCGAATCCTGGTCTCGGCATCTACACCTTTTTGGGGATATCATTAATATTTCAATATTCCATTAAAGCACACACGTTTACTTTTACAGGTCGGCCCATTTCAAAGCAATGCATAAAATCATTTGACTTGAAACTATTCCAAACCTTTTAATTGAGTAAATTAAATTTGGAAATAGACTCCTGATTTACGTATATTTTAGTTGCCTTTAGGAAAGACGTAATTTACCCCTGCATTTTGTGAAGACAGAGAAAAGAAATCAAGTTCAAGCCATTACAGAACCAAGAATGTCTTGAGCTAATATGCCTTGCTGATAACAGGGTGACAAGTGGCCGTGATCGTCTAGTGGTTAGGACTTTGCGTTGTGGCCGCAAGAACCCCGGTTCGAATCCGGGTCACGGCATGTTGCCCGAGCTTTTGCAGGATGTGTTTCTCTGCATTTTCCGAGCCAGGAAGCTTTCCAGTAACCAACCAGATGCACAACTTTTGGCCGAGTTTCACGCGTCTCAGTTGAACACCAATTCAGTGGGAAATGAAGACATTGTCTGTAACCATCCAGGTACGACGATAGTTATAGAGAGGCACCTACTTTTAGAATGCCTTATGTCCATTGTGTAGCTAACGTAGCTATCTGAGGCGTTACACTCCTTCTGATTGCTTCCATCAAAAGTAGGCATATTTTCCTTGTCCATCTTCTATGGCAAATAACTCTCTGTTGTATTTGCTACCTTCGTGTCGTGAATACTGTGACTGTAAGTTACTCCTATTATCATGTACATTTGTAGTGTAATAAGTAGATGACGAAAACTCTCTGCTCATTGACTTGTTCGGGACTTCCTGCTGTTTTTAGAGGGCGTCATCAACGTTATACTGTGACAAAGCGATGTGTTTATAGACTATAATTGTAACAAGGAAAAGCTGAAAATGTGTATAAATCGCTGGCCATTTCAGGTTGTAGAACAGCCGTGATCGTCTAGTGGTTAGGACTTTGCGTTGTGGCCGCAAGAACCCAGGTTAGAATCCTGGTCTCGGCATCTACACCTTTTTGGGGATATCATTGATATTTCAATAATCCATTAAAGCACACACGTTTACTTTTACAGGTCGGCCCAGTTCAAAGCAATGCATAAAATCATTTGACTTGAAACTATTCCAAACCTTTTAATTGAGTAAATTAAATTTGGAAATAGACTCCTGATTTACGTATATTTTAGTTGCCTTTAGGAAAGACGTAATTTACCCCTGCATTTTGTGAAGACAGTGAAAAGAAATCAAGTTCAAGCCATTACAGAACCAAGAATGTCTTGAGCTAATATGCCTTGCTGATAACAGGGTGACAAGTGGCCGTGATCGTCTAGTGGTTAGGACTTTGCGTTGTGGCCGCAAGAACCCCGGTTCGAATCCGGGTCACGGCATGTTGCCCGAGCTTTTGCAGGATGTGTTTCTCTGCATTTTCCGAGCCAGGAAGCTTTCCAGTAACCAACCAGATGCACAACTTTTAGCCGAGTTTCACGCGTCTCAGTTGAACACCAATTCAGTGGGAAATGAAGACATTGTCTGTAACCATCCAGGTACGACGATAGTTATAGAGAGGCACCTACTTTTAGAATGCCTTATGTCCATTGTGTAGCTAACGTAGCTATCTGAGGCGTTACACTCCTTCTGATTGCTTCCATCAAAAGTAGGCATATTTTCCTTGTCCATCTTCTATGGCAAATAACTCTCTGTTGTATTTGCTACCTTCGTGTCGTGAATACTGTGACTGTAAGTTACTCCTATTATCATGTACATTTGTAGTGTAATAAGTAGATGACGAAAACTCTCTGCTCATTGACTTGTTCGGGACTTCCTGCTGTTTTTAGAGGGCGTCATCAACGTTATACTGTGACAAAGCGATGTGTTTATAGACTATAATTGTAACAAGGAAAAGCTGAAAATGTGTATAAATCGCTGGCCATTTCAGGTTGTAGAACAGCCGTGATCGTCTAGTGGTTAGGACTTTGCGTTGTGGCCGCAAGAACCCAGGTTCGAATCCGGGTCTCGGCATCTACACCTTTTTGGGGATATCATTGATATTTCAATATTCCATTAAAGCACACACGTTTACTTTTACAGGTCGGCCCAGTTCAAAGCAATGCATAAAACCATTTGACTTGAAACTATTCCAAACCTTTTAATTGAGTAAATTAAATTTGGAAATAGACTCCTGATTTACGTATATTTTAGTTGCCTTTAGGAAAGACGTAATTTACCCCTGCATTTTGTGAAGACAGTGAAAAGAAATCAAGTTCAAGCCATTACAGAACCAAGAATGTCTTGAGCTAATATGCCTTGCTGATAACAGGTTGACAAGTGGCCGTGATCGTCTAGTGGTTAGGACTTTGCGTTGTGGCCGCAAGAACCCCGGTTCGAATCCGGGTCACGGCATGTTGCCCGAGCTTTTGCAGGATGTGTTTCTCTGCATTTTCCGAGCCAGGAAGCTTTCCAGTAACCAACCAGATGCACAACTTTTGGCCGAGTTTCACGCGTCTCAGTTGAACACCAATTCAGTGGGAAATGAAGACATTGTCTGTAACCATCCAGGTACGACGATAGTTATAGAGAGGCACCTACTTTTAGAATGCCTTATGTCCATTGTGTAGCTAACGTAGCTATCTGAGGCGTTACACTCCTTCTGATTGCTTCCATCAAAAGTAGGCATATTTTCCTTGTCCATCTTCTATGGCAAATAACTCTCTGTTGTATTTGCTACCTTCGTGTCGTGAATACTGTGACTGTAAGTTACTCCTATTATCATGTACATTTGTAGTGTAATAAGTAGATGACGAAAACTCTCTGCTCATTGACTTGTTCGGGACTTCCTGCTGTTTTTAGAGGGCGTCATCAACGTTATACTGTGACAAAGCGATGTGTTTATAGACTATAATTGTAACAAGGAAAAGCTGAAAATGTGTATAAATCGCTGGCCATTTCAGGTTGTAGAACAGCCGTCATCGTCTAGTGGTTAGGACTTTGCGTTGTGGCCGCAAGAACCCAGGTTCGAATCCTGGTCTCGGCATCTACACCTTTTTGGGGATATCATTGATATTTCAATAATCCATTAAAGCACACACGTTTACTTTTACAGGTCGGCCCAGTTCAAAGCAATGCATAGAACCATTTGACTTGAAACTATTCCAAACCTTTTAATTGAGTAAATTAAATTTGGAAATAGACTCCTGATTTACGTATATTTTAGTTGCCTTTAGGAAAGACGTAATTTACCCCTGCATTTTGTGAAGACAGTGAAAAGAAATCAAGTTCAAGCCATTACAGAACCAAGAATGTCTTGAGCTAATATGCCTTGCTGATAACAGGGTGACAAGTGGCCGTGATCGTCTAGTGGTTAGGACTTTGCGTTGTGGCCGCAAGAACCCCGGTTCGAATCCTGGTCTCGGCATCTACACCTTTTTGGGGATATCATTGATATTTCAATATTCCATTAAAGCACACCATTTTACTTTTACAGGTCGGCCCAGTTCAAAGCAATGCATAAAATCATTTGACTTGAAACTATTCCAAACCTTTTAATTGAGTAAATTAAATTTGGAAATAGACTCCTGATTTACGTATATTTTAGTTGCCTTTAGGAAAGACGTAATTTACCCCTGCATTTTGTGAAGACAGTGAAAAGAAATCAAGTTCAAGCCATTACAGAACCAAGAATGTCTTGAGCTAATATGCCTTGCTGATAACAGGGTGACAAGTGGCCGTGATCGTCTAGTGGTTAGGACTTTGCGTTGTGGCCGCAAGAACCCCGGTTCGAATCCGGGTCACGGCATGTTGCCCGAGCTTTTGCAGGATGTGTTTCTCTGCATTTTCCGAGCCAGGAAGCTTTCCAGTGGCCAACCAACCAGATGCGCAACTTTTGGCCGAGTTTCACGCGTCTCAGTTGAACACAAATTCAGTGGGAAATGAAGACATTGTCTGTAACCATTCAGGTACGACGATAGTTATAGAGAGGCACCTACTTTTAGAATGCCTTATGTCCATTGTGTAGCTAACGTAGCTATCTGAGGCGTTACACTCCTTCTGATTGCTTCCATCAAAAGTAGGCATATTTTCCTTGTCCATCTTCTATGGCAAATAACTCTCTGTTGTATTTGCTACCTTCGTGTCGTGAATACTGTGACTGTAAGTTACTCCTATCATCATGTACATTTGTAGTGTAATAAGTAGATGACGGAAACTCTCTGCTCATTGACTTGTTCGGGACTTCCTGCTGTTTTTAGAGGGCGTCATCAACGTTATACTGTGACAAAGCGATGTGTTTATAGACTATAATTGTAACAAGGAAAAGCTGAAAATGTGTATAAATCGCTGGCCATTTCAGGTTGTAGAACAGCCGTGATCGTCTAGTGGTTAGGACTTTGCGTTGTGGCCGCAAGAACCCAGGTTCGAATCCTGGTCTCGGCATCTACACCTTTTTGGGGATATCATTAATATTTCAATATTCCATTAAAGCACACACGTTTACTTTTACAGGTCGGCCCATTTCAAAGCAATGCATAAAATCATTTGACTTGAAACTATTCCAAACCTTTTAATTGAGTAAATTAAATTTGGAAATAGACTCCTGATTTACGTATATTTTAGTTGCCTTTAGGAAAGACGTAATTTACCCCTGCATTTTGTGAAGACAGAGAAAAGAAATCAAGTTCAAGCCATTACAGAACCAAGAATGTCTTGAGCTAATATGCCATGCTGATAACAGGTTGACAAGTGGCCGTGATCGTCTAGTGGTTAGGACTTTGCGTTGTGGCCGCAAGAACCCCGGTTCGAATCCGGGTCACGGCATGTTGCCCGAGCTTTTGCAGGATGTGTTTCTCTGCTTTTTCCGAGGCAGGACGCTTTCCAGTGGCCAACCAACCAGTTGCGCAACTTTTGGCCGAGTTTCACGCGTCTCAGTTGAACACAAATTCAGTGGGAAATGAAGACATTGTCTGTAACCATTCAGGTACGACGATAGTTATAGAGAGGCAC